TATTTAAAACTTCTATACATATAATGTCGGGTTGGTTTAGTTTCGATCGGATTTGTTTTAGTTAAAACCAAACTAAATCAAATATGGTCGAATTTTTTTTTCCAATACCAAACCATAGTCGGATTATTTTTTCTCGGTTTGACTTGAATTATTGGGTTGATGTGATTTGTCAATTTTATTTGTATACCCTTACTTTGACAGCCAATGCAACAATTTTTGTTTATGTAAATTGTAAAGGGTAATGGAACAAGTACGCGCGAGGACTTAAGGAAGGACACGCAAGGGACACAATATATTGAGTTTCGAAAATACCCCTGTTCGTCCCTCCTCTTTGCCATAATATGTGTGTATTATTTTTTTCGAAAAATGATCAAAACTATCCTTATCGTTTGATAAATAATTTAAAATTATCTTTCATCCCTTTTGGTTAAAAAATGTACGTAACATTACCTTTCGGACTGCACGTAATTTGACAAGTATGTCGAGAATTTAAAGTCTTACCGCTTTCTAATTATTTTGACGTTACAATCTCAATAGAGCCAAAATATTAAGTGATTTATTTCAAGCGAAATTTTACCACAATTATTACTCCACTAATATATAAAAGGTACATAAAAATAAAGGGGGGGAAATAATGGGAAAATTTCATATAAGAATAATTAGGCTCCCTATTTTTCAATTTTATAGTCCACATTTTAATTTACAATCAACTAGTCCAAAAATAATAGGCTAAGATTCAACATCTAACTCCAATAGGTTCTCGAAATTACTATTTAATTTTTATAAAAGATTGTTCAAGCTTTTAAGCTAATTTTTGAATCAATAACTGTGACTCAAATATTAGTTCGACAAACCAAATCCATTTGGGTGGTGAAAATTAGATTTTTAACTAGCTTAAATATGTGGGTTTAAATTCCAAATTTGATTTTGTGAGAAATTTGGAATGAGTATTATTTAGACTTGTTAGAAATAGTATAAGGAGGTTGTATATAAAATTTGAAGTCATTTATCGGAGATTTGGACTAGTTTAAAACAAGAATTGTAACTGAAAATCGTGGAAAAAATTCGTCAACAGACGCTTGTATAAAGGTGTATAAAAGTGTATAATAGTGTATAAGATGTATTTATACACTCATATACACTATTATACAATATTATACAAAAAAACTGACTTCGTCTTCTTCATTGCGTCTTTTCTGAAATTTAACTCAAATATTGCTCAAATCTACTCCAAATCATTTCAAATTTAAATTTTGAACTCCTTTTGATATTTTCAATCAATTGGAACAACTAACAAACTCAAAAAACCCTATTTTCGAAAGCAAAGCTTTGAATGGCCTTCAATGGTAGACTTCTACTTTTCAATTTTCTTATATTGCAACCAGGTGACACATATGGGAAACAGAAAATACACGGCCCCTTGAAGTATATGTAGAAGATGTGAGAAGAAGAGAGAGTGAAATCAATGGTTGTGAGAATACAGATTTAACTACTTAGCTTTTAGAAATAATAATTGTAAAAACATAAATTTTGAATTTACTAGTGCTTTCAAAATATGTACAATATAGGCTAAGTCCGATAAAACTTAAAAACATGGGCGCGTGAAGTTATTTAAAAAATGTTTGGAACTTGAGTCGCTTTGCGGCTAGTCCGAGGACAGGCTGTCCGTGAACAGATACGACAATGATTAGCTGAACAACCTCCCACCGCCACTTGCCTTTTCATTTACCCATGACCATTCAAAAAATATACTACTATTAAATATAACATATCTTGTTACCAATTTAATTAAGAATACTTATATTACAATTCAATTTAACTTTCTTACTTAATAAAATCAACTCACGATCTATAAATATATATAGACATAACATAAAAGAAACAATATATTAATGGTAAGTATTTTTCATGGAAAATATTGGTAAAGAATATTTTTTTCCGTTGAATTTCATCATTAAAAATTAAGTTACTATGCTCTTCATATCTTGTAATTTTTAATCCAACAAAAATATAAAAATAACGTACATATTAATATTAGTTTGTTCAGTTCATTTTCATTCCACCAAAAATCGATTTAATCTGCCCATTTATCACTACTACATATACGACATTTTTTTGTAACACTTCAGCACCTAATTTTTGATTATTTAAGAAAATGTTGCTTTATCCCAAATTTGTGTAGTTTTTAACCAAAAGATATTTGTGTAGTTGGCACCTAAGTAACACGTCTTTTGTCAATTGGCTGAACTTTGTTAGTGTTGGTGTTGTATGAGCTGTATATCTCTGCGCTATGGTCCATTTAATAAAGAGGGTACTTCAATTTGTCTTTATGATATGTTCAATCAAAATTAATTTTGAGACTTAGGTTTTAAGTTTTATTCTTTCATTCTTCGTTGAAAATATAATTGTTCATACTCAGATAATTTATTTGTTTATATTTTTCTATTTCTACTATTAAAAAAAAAACACAATACTTAACAAATACAATCCACTAATCTTAATCTGATGCTAAAAATCAAATTAGTATAAGTATATATCTTACTTAGCTCGAATTTCCCGAATCTTAACTCTAACTAGTATTAGTACCCGCGCGATGCGCGGACACAAAATATGTCAAATTATGATTTGTATTATTTAGGTTATGTGCAAATAACCTTACTATTTAATTTTCACATAAAAATTATAGATAATCATTAGATATTAAGAAAGAAGAGTACATGGAATCATTTTTCAAATCTCGTAGGGGATAAGCTATTTTTTTCTTTTTAAATTTATAACAACATAATCTCTTGATTTTATTACCTGCACATCATTCCGTGATCAATATTAAAGAATACTAAACATGTCACGTTGTGATCTATCTTGTTTGAGCATATTAAGTCATACTATTTTAATAAAATTCTTACTAAAACTTTGTTTTACATCTAAAGTTCAAATATGTCTTATCCTTCAACATTTGTTTCTCTTTTTGTTCTTTGCCTATAGTAATTATATTACTCATTACTTAATATTGTCATGTGATTTTTTATTAGTTTACCAACTGGCTTAATATCTTGATAATTTTTCCTATAATAATCATCGATAATTATAATTTTTTTATTCTTGAAATTTAATATATTTTTACACTTTATCCTCTTACTCGAGACTCTTTTATCATTTAAATGTATCAATAATATTATATTATCTAGCTATTTAATTAATTTATTTAAACTAATTCAAAGTATAAGTATAATTCAAAGTATATAGTTAAAGTCTAATATATAGTATTATCACATTTTCACGTGGTTTTCATTAACTTGTCACTTCATTTAATATCATTATCAAAATATAATATAAATAGATAAGTAAAATTTTGATCTTGCATAAATATTTATTTTATTTTTAAACTATTGCTCTAAATTTCTACTATTAAAAAAAAAACACAATACTTAACAAATACAATCCACCAATCTTAATCAGATGCTAAAAATCAAATTAATATAAGTATATATCTTACTTAGCTTGAATTTCCCGAATCTTAACTCTAATTAATTGGTGGATAACTATGACAATTATTGAACTACTTAAATATTGAATGCACTAGATATGAATCCTATTCTTTTCTCCGGTCAAATATGAATCCGATTTATATTTCAAATATTCTTTAAAGTTGTTAAATATTGAATGCATTAGATATGAATTCGATTTATTTATCAAATATATCCAGATTGAATACAATAGAGATCATCTATTGATATTTATTATTATTTTTATTATACAGTCAAATTAAAACAACTGGATCAATTTATTATTTGATGTAAATTTCTTTAGTTTTTAAAAAATAAAAGATAGTGATAGTACTTTTACAAAATCGGAAATTTATCTTCCAAATGAACATTTATATGAGAAATCATCCTAATCAAAACTTGAGCTTGACTTTCAAAAATCTTTCTTTTTCAAAAATTTCGGAATAAGTATGGAGTGATCATTGAAAAAAAATTTACACAGTGTACACACCCAAAAAAATAATCTAAACTTAATAGTTACAAACTAATACAATGTGTATATGTAAAAAATATGTTTTCCATTCATTTATTGATATAAACAATGAATGCAAGTAATTCCACCTAAAATTTTAAGGGTAAAAAATTATTTTTAGTTTGCGGTTGAAACTATTTATATTTGATAGCCATAAAAGTATATATAAATTTATATATCTTTTGTATATAACATGCAGAAATATATATTAAAAAAAATATATTTTTTAACTATTAATTCTAGAGCGACTATACAATGTTATTTTTTTAAATTTAAAATTAAGTGGGTTACAGTAACAATGTAGGGAAAATATGCCAATAATTTGCAAAATCTCCAACAACCAATCAAATCCAAATGTATATCCATATGTACCAAGTTAAAAACCAATGTGAACAAGTAAATATCTTTTCCACTATTTTAAAAAAATACAGTTGTATATACAATGTATTATGTATGCAGTATGTATATACATTTTGTCTCTTCATTTTCGAAACTTTAGAGAATTTCAAATTTCGGGTACAGTAATTTCTGACTTTTTCTTTTAATTATATTGTGTCTATATCCAAACTGAATTTTTCTTGGCCTTATATATATATAATAGTATTGCAATTCAAGAAAGCATGAAATTTAGCAGCAAACCACTTAGTGGGACCTACTTACGGGCAAAAAGTCTACTTCTTTCTCCAACTTATTTCGTTCTTCTGTCTCCAATTCAACTCAATTCTCTCTCTTCCTCTGTTTTTACTCTCTCCTAAATTCAAGATTTCCAGTGTTTAGGTGGGTTTGAAGTGTTTTTGAGGATTTGATATGCTCTGGATTTGATTTGGAGGTCATCATATACAGTGTCAATTGGGTTGCTTTAACTGTAAGTCATAAAAAAGGAATCTTTGTCACTTCATTTCTTATGCTATCTGCTTTGGTTTTTTTTCTTTTTCTTTCTAGGGAAAATAAATCTTTGTAACTTCATTTCTACTGATATTTATTTTCGCTGATTGTTTGTTACCCCAAAAAGGAAAGTTCATTTGTGAAATCAAAACTTGAAAGTATACTGTTAAAATCTTAAATTGAGTGATTTCCTGGAAAGATTTAATGTTTGTAACTTAATTATTAGTGGTATCTGTGTTGCTGATTGTTCTTGAAGTCAAACAATGGCTAATTTCTTTGAGAAGTCATGATCTTGTAGTCTTCTTACCCTCTTTAAATTGAGTCATTTCTTGGAAAAATTTGCTGCCTTGTTTTCCCTTTTTTTTTTCCGCGGTTTGTTTGGGATTGAGACATGTAGTAGTTGATATTGTTGTTGCATCATAAGTTGTTGACTTGTTCAGCAATTTATTTCTGTTGTTGATGACTAGACCTGTCTTTCACTATTTTGGTAGCTATAGCTAAAGGGCTGATTCTCTTAATCAGTGACTTAAGATGGGGAAGTATCACTTTCTGAGTTGAATAGCTTAAGCTGTTCAGAAAATTTTGAGGAGAAGTAATCTTCTCTTGAAGATCCAAAATTTTAACAATTTTGTTAATTTGACAATGAAAATTGAAAAGTTGGATACTATGTAAACTGCTCCCTGATCTTTTAGGACAATTTCGAATACTGATTCTGATGCTTCAAGGTTTCTAGTAACTATATATGAAAAAACTAATTACCTTGATAGATGATTGAGAAGAGCCACACGTTGATGCTTATCGATTTAGTTAGTTTGGAATCTTTTATCTGGAAGATGAGTTGTTCAGTCGCTATATTTTTATTAAGTATGTTTGATCTGAGTGTTAGATAGGACGAGGGACCTTTGGGAAACTCATCCTTGATTGTAGAATGGGTTGATAGGATGACTTACCCTTTTTTCCTTTATCCCAAATATGCAACTAATCAATCTAAGTGGATATGACGGGCGTGCTCGTCTTGGACTTGGCCGTGCCTTTTGGGTCAGCCAAGCTCATGCGACGCTGACGTCAATGAGGAATGTCTTTAGCGGAGGGTCTATCGGAAACAACCTCTCTGCCCTCCCAGGGTAGGGTTAAGGTCTACGTACACACTACTCTCCCCAGACCCCGCTTGTGAAAATTTACTGGGTTTGTTGTTGTTGTTGTTAGTCAATCTAAGGGGATGCTTCAATTTATATCTACAAGATGAAAGCCTCACGGGTTAAGAAAAAAGTATATTTCTTTATGCTTATCAAAAGAAATATGGTCTTTTTCATTTGAAAGAAATATAACTGCAAATCTGCAGGTTGAAATATTCCTGGGATCAGATGTAATACGTGTTACTGCTCTTGTGCTCTGACAAGATCGAGTTGAAGCATGAAGAAACTAGAAAACGAGAATTCTGTGCAATTTGATGGTGGAAGTTCTGGTACGTTATCCCAATTTTGTGGCAAAATGTAAGATAATACAACTTGTTTGATAAGTCCGGCTGCTTCATTGTGTAGCAGTAACAGCTCTTTCTTTACAGTATGCTCTCCTTTCTTTATCTCATAATTTGGACCGTCATTTTCATTTTCTTCATCATTGCCTCATGTTGGTCCCTTATTTCTCCTACCATTCAGGTGGCTTTTCAGGTGATGCAAGCTCAGATGGGAGGTTAGTTGTAATTTAGTTATGTTAATATCTATTTTGGTTGAGCTTAAGATACCTGTCTTTTTTTTCTTGGGAAATGAAGAATTTTCTGACTCATGTTGTTGTGGACCTTGTGGTTTTAATTTTGGTTTTGATCTTTTCAGGGTTTATATTGATGAATGTAGCACAGACAGCAGTCAAGAGGAGTGCTGTTCCACCATGCGCACAAGAAGGGATGCAGAACTCATGAATGGTAGTTGTGAGGAAACCAAAAGTAGAAAAATTGAAGGGGATGATGATGACGAATCTGGAATCCCTTCTAGTTATGAACTGGATCAGTTCTGGGAGCCCCCAGAACCAGAATGTTGTGATGATGATATGGAAGGCAGCGTGGCTAATTACGATGATGATGAATGCGACAATGACTTGAACTGGGGCAAGCCAACTTCTTTAATAAACCTTGGAGAAGAAGGTTTGTGGAGCTACAAATTTAAAGAGGAAAAGCAGAAGGCATTGGAAGAAGTGATGAACGGGAAGCTTAAGTCCCTTGTTAATGACCTTCTTAAGTCTTTTGGTGTCAACTCATCAGCGTGTGACAATTGGGTTGATATAGTCACCTCCTTGTCTTGGGAGGCTGCTTCATTTGTGAAGCCTGATTCTGCTGAAGGAAAGGCTATGGATCCTAATAGATATGTGAAGATAAAATGCATAAGAACTGGTTCTCCCAGCCAAAGGTATTACGGAACAACTATGTGTCTCACCTCTAATGATTTTTCCTAATTTCCTTTCTTCGTTCAGTTTAGCTATTGGATTGTCAAAGTGGCGGGCTATGTGTTTCCTGGAGTTTGATATTTGTTCTCTATTTATGAAGTTGGGGGCAGCAGTTGCCTCTGAATATTATTGATCCTACTCATTATTTGGTTTCCTCTGCCATGCCTTCTCTAATGTCTATGATTGAATATCTGTTTAAATTTAGTTATTCATATCCCAAATATGACCTTTTTGGGCTGTCCTAAAGTGGAGTACCATCTTCTTAAATTTCTGAATGTTGTATCATTTCATAGGTTATATGGGACCATTTTTATTCTTTTAAAATCGCCAAGTTTCTCAGAAAGTAACATTACCTCTAATTTTGAACTTACCTTTTAAATACTATACAATTTGCATTCTACTCATTATCTGTATGTTTGTTATCTAAGACTAAATTTAAGACGAAAGGGGGACCCAGACTTACGTTGTAACTTGTCATGTTTATAGTCAATTTATCAGAGGCCTGGTCTTCAAAAAGCATGCTGCTCATAAGCATATGCCAACTAAGTTTGAAAAAGCTAGGTTGCTGTTGATTGAGGGTGCGGTAGGTCTCTCTTCAAGTGAGTTGTCATCATTTCATGCAATGAAAGAGGTAAACAAGAAACTCTCTAAATGTGTGAGATAAAAAAAAGAGAATTTATTCTAGTCTTTGATCATGTGTTCTTTATCAATTAATAATGACAGGAGAAAGACAATGTGGTGAAGTCTATCATTGAAATCCTAGAGAGGTACCAGCCAAATGTGATATTAGTCGAGGAAACTGTTTCTCGTGACATACAAGAGTCTATCCTTAAGAAAGGATGGACACTAGTCTTTGATATGAAAAAGCATCGCCTGGAGAGAGTTGCTATTTGCACTGTTTCACCAACATTATCTTCTGAAATCCTGTCTGGCCACAAGCTCAGACAGTGTGATTCCTTTCATTTTCAAAGGTTTGTAGAGGAACATGACACTTCTGCCGATGGTGGAAAAAGGCCTAGCAAAACACTGATGTTTATTGAGGGCTGTCCTACTCATCTGGGATGCACGGTGAGTCACGTTCTCTATTTTGTTTTAGTGACACAGAATATCATAATAGGGATTATTGATGGTTGGGACATGAGTTCCATTGTTGTTTCATTGCTCAAGAGATAACAAAAATATGAGAAGAGTTAGTTTTGCATCCCTTTGGCCCGGGCATTTACATCGATCTGGGTTTTTGTCTTTTGTGACTGCAACTGTATTAAATGGATGAAATACCATAGTATTATCTTGATATTCACTGATTCATATCTTTGCCTTCCGAACTTGTGTCATCTTTCTTTGTGGTAAGTTATAGAGGATTGATACCTGGTGATTCTTTCTTTCCCTTGTCTACTATGTCTTGAACAGTTACGTCTATACCTCTGACCGTGACCTTTTGGGCAGATTTTGTTAATGGGAGCTAACAGTGATGAACTGAAGAAGATTAAATGTGTGGTACGCCTGTCAGTGATCATGGCATATAATTTAATCCTCGAGACTTCTTTCCTTCTTGATCAAAAAGCAATGTTCTCGACTATTCCTCTTAGCCAGGAGGTGAATTCAATAGTTACTGATGAAACCCCATCTGTTAGTGCTGAACAAGAAATTCTTTCTACCGTTACTGAGGCGAATTCTTCCTGTTCAATTGATGTCCCAATATCCAATGGCTTCCATCAAGAAGTAAGTCATAACGTAGAAGCACAAGGCAATCCTCTGTCATTTGAGCCATATGACCCAGTTGTTCTTTCTAGTTTGTCGTCTCTCTCAGCCTCTCTGAATAAGGTTATGGGGGACAAGTTTCCTCTCTTCTCCACCTCTGGTCAATCCATGCCCTCATGTTTCAGTGATAATGGAGCCAACAAAGATGATCAGGAACAAGCTGATATTCAAGCTCCTTACGCCACTGAGGTGGTTAATCAAAGTGATACCGATCAGAAAGCTAATAGCTCTGATGAAGAGATGGCATCTGAAAAACAGCAGTTGCAGACTCCAATAATGAGCCAGGGAGAGTCTTCGGTATCTGGTAAAGAGCGTGAAGACCAAGGGCATTGGGGGAATGGTGTTACATCATCAGCAGATACTGATAGTATTTTGGTTCTGATATCAAGCCGGAATGCTTCAAGAGGGACTATGTGTGCCCATAGTCATTTTTCTCGCATAAAGTTCTATCAAAATTTTGATATTCCCCTTGGAAAATTTTTGCAGCATAATTTGCTAAGTCAGGTGCATAGAACTCAACACTCTCCACTTGAACCCCTTCTTGTTCTGTCGCTGTAGTTTTCAATTTGACCTAACAAATTTTCTTTAGAAAGATTGGCGGTCATTTTGCTGAGTACATAATCAAAAGTTGCTTAATGATTTGTTTGAAATAAAATCATGGTGTTATGCCTTTCTGAGACAATGTCATTGGTTATTCGGACCAATTTTTTCAGATTGAGCATGGAGTTCTTCATTATCAATTGATACTTTTCTAGACTGCAGCATTTGTTTTAAATTGTTAACGGAAAATCTCTGTTGTACAGAAACTCCCATGTACGAACTGTGATGGATCCCCCGAAGATCACATTTTCTATTATGCACATTACAATAAGCTACTTGCAATTCAAGTTCGTTCTCTTCCAACGGACAAGGGGCTTCCAGGTGAAAGTGAAGGGAAGATTTGGATGTGGAGTCGTTGTGGTAGATGCAAGTTTCAAACTGGTAGCTCAAAATCAACGAAAAGAGTTTTAGTATCCACTGGTTCGCGTGGTTTTTCATTTGGAAAATTCTTGGAGCTCAGCTTCTCAAATACCTCTTTGTTTAATAGACTGTCGTCTGGCTGTGGTCATTCTTTGCACAGGGATTTCCTCTACTTCTTTGGGTATGGTCACTTTTGGCTTTAATTATTCTTGAAGTGTCTATTATTTTCATACATGCGGATCTAACAGCAATTCCTACTGATAGCTTTTTTGCTATCTCTATGAAAAATTCCATTTGACATTACTCAAGATTTAAGTCGAATCGTGTGCGATGAGTGGCTATATAGGGATTTTGTTTTTGGTGCTTTTGTCATATTTTATATTTTCAGTTTGAAGATATTCATGCNAGTGTCTATTATTTTCATACATGCGGATCTAACAGCAATTCCTACTGATAGTTTTTTTTTGCTATCTCTATGAAAAATTCCATTTGACATTACTCGAGATTTAAGTCGAATCGTATGCGATGACTGGCTATATAGGGATTTTGTTTTTGGTGCTTTTGTCATATTTTATCTTTCCTGTTTGAAGATATTCATGTCACTTTTCTGCATGTGCAGATTAGGGCGTATGGTTGCTATGTTTAAGTACTCAACCATTACTACCTATTCCGTGTCTCTTCCTCCAGAGAAGCTGGAGTTTAGCAGTTCTGTCAATGGAGAGTTTCTTAAGAAGGAACTTGAAGATGTATGTTTTCTATGAGTCTTACTGCTTTTTACACAATACAACAACATACCCAGTGTAGTCCCACAAGTGGGGTCTGGCTGCTTTTTACACAATAAGACTTTTAAATACTTGGCTGAATATGGAAGTTATATGACCTATTGCAAGTTTCTATTGACTTCAGATTTTCTTTCTTCCTCAACTAGGTGTACAAGAAAGGGACCACGATGTTTCTTGATGTAGAAAAAGCTTTGAAGGCAATAGAGCCTCGTTTTGTTGGAACGGTTCTAAATCTTCAGGGATCAATGAGGAAATTTTCTGAAATTGAGAAAATGTTGAAGGAAGAGAGAACTCAATTTGAGGTTAGCACCTTTATGCTGCCATTTTCATGATACTTGTTCCTATAGCAATTTTATTTGATCAACGTTGATGTGATAGAATGTCATTCTGAGTCTAAGTTCCCCTTCCAATTTTTCATGTTAGATGATACGTTTGTTCCACGGTATAACTTGGTACATACAGCCTTAAGACCTATGTGAGCAAATGATATTGATAACCTTGGCTAGAATAATGTTAACAGATGTCAAATACATACAAGTACATACAATAAGAGTTGTCCGCTTTCTAATTTTCTGGTTGATGAGAACCAGCATTCAGGTTTTTGTCAATAATTTTCAAGTAATGAACTCATCTACAGTTCATTTGACCAGATATTTATTAAAGCATATCTAAATCTTATTTTGCTTCTACTGATCTATGGATTTAATGTCAGATTGATATTCAAAATGCTGCTTTGGATGGGAATCAGGANCGCTTTCTAATTTTCTGGTTGATGAGAACCAGCATTCAGGTTTTTGTCAATAATTTTTAAGTGCATGTTTGACACTGCAGCTATTTCAAAACCTACTGCCTTTCTTCAATGAACTCATCTACAGTTCATTTGACTAGATATTTATTAAAGCATATCTAAATCTCATTTTGCTTCTACTGATCTATGGATTCAATGTCAGATTGATATTCAAAATGCTGCTATGGATGAAAATCAGGGCGTCGTCGTATTTAAACTTCTAACGTTGAATAGAATACGGCTGGAGCTTTTGCTCGAGTCCTGTGTGTGGGATCGCCGTCTTCATTCATTGCTATCATCTGATTGTACAGCAGCTGACCCCAAATCTGTTGACCAGAAGGTTGATACACTGCCAAGTATCAATACTATCAACGACTGGGAGCAACAAGAGAAAGGCAGTGTTAAAGGAGACAGTAACGGCGCGAAGATATATCCGGAAAGAGATGACAGAGCATTGGAAGATGTTGCTGATCTGAAAAGCAAGCTAGTTGAAAGCTCTTGTGCAGAGAATAACAATTGGACCGAAACTACTGGAGGAAGTTGCGGTGATGTTTTGGATGCTGACCATCATCGGAAGTCGAATGTTGAATCATCTGCAGAAGCAAATGGTCTTCCCATTAAAGAAATCTGTGTTGATACGCATGATTATAGACAAGATGAACCATCAACTTTATCTGCTTTCTGTGATGGTGCTGAGTCGACAACTGCAGCTAAAGTAAATGGGAGTGAAGTATCCCTTCAGGATGTGACAGTGAACTCTGATCTCTCTGATCACTGCCTTTTTGGTAATGAAAGTAACTTACAGCTCAATCTTCCTTCATCCATTCAATTGGAGACGGACAAACGAATCATCGTTGATGCTGATGCTGGAGGTGCCCATGATTTTAACCATTCCCAGAGTAGATCCCTGTCCTCAATATTTTCCAACACAGAGAATGATGAAGGGTGGTGGACTCCATTCTCTGAAATTTGGCGCCAATACCTGGAGGATCTCCAGAGAGGTCACCTGCCGAAATTAGGTTCTATCACAAACCATGATGTAGAATCTACCACTTATAAACTTATTACACATGAGGGTGCAAAGCTGCACATTCCCCTTGGAAGTGATAAGTTCATTGTGTCTGATTATGAAGATGAATTTTCCAGCATAATTGCTTGTGCTTTGGCCTTGCTGAAGGATTTGCCCATTGAAAGTGAAGATCTTGGAGGCGATGGCAGAAAAGATAGAGGAACTGATGCTAAGGCGTATGAGAGTTCACAAGGCGTAATGCGGATATTCTCTGTAGCTTCTCCACATTTGTCTTCAACTGGTTCATTGGATTTAACACGGTTTCACTCTTCAAACATTTCAGAGGAAACACGCACAGCAAGTTTAGATGGGGGATTAGATTTGTTAAATTCATCGGTTTCTTTCACGGTTCACCCGGAAGTCTCCATGGGTTTGGGTAAATTAACTGGAAAGTACAAATACTCAGTCCTCTGTCTCTATGCCAGCCAATTTCGTCGTTTACGAGATCGATGGTGTACTTCAGAAGTTGATTATATTGCTTCCTTAAGTAGGTGTAGGAGCTGGGATGCAAAAGGTGGGAAAAGTAAATCTTTGTTTGCCAAAACAGTTGACGATCGGTTTATCATCAAGGAAATTAAAAGAGCAGAATTTGACTCATTCTTGAAGTTTGCTACTCAATATTTTGAGTACATGGATCAGTGCCATGAGAAGAGGAATCAAACCTGCCTTGCAAAAATTCTTGGCATTTATCAGGTTAATTAATCGGTTGTAGTCACTTCACTTATCCGACTGTTAGCACAGTAGACACTTCCTTCTTTGACACTCTCTATTTATGTTTTGCAGGTCAATGTAAGGCCAAGAGGTGGCAAAGAGACAAGGCATGATCTCATGGTGATGGAGAACCTTTCATTTAATAGAAGTACTACTCGGCAATATGATCTGAAAGGCGCTTTGCATGCTCGATTTAGTTCAGCTGGAAATGGTGCAGGAGACGTTCTTCTGGACCAAAACTTTGTTAACGACATGAATGTTTCTCCTTTATATGTTGGTACGAGATCAAAGAGGGATTTACAACGCGCTGTATGGAATGACTGTACTTTCCTCAGGGTAAGTTGGAGGCCAAACTGCTAACCTAATAATATCCACAAAACTTAAAAAGCATCCAAAGAAAAGTCACTTCTGCTTCTTATAATCATGCAATCTCCGAAGTTAATCGATTAGCATCTAAACTCCTCTAATAATCATGCAACCCCTGAAGTTAATAGATTACCCTCTAAACAGCTACTGTTTTCTGATTTGCAGTCAATCAATGTGATGGACTACTCTCTACTTGTGGGAGTGGATAGTCAACGCTGTGAACTTGTTTGTGGCATCATCGACTATCTCAGGCAATATACATGGGACAAGCAGCTTGAGAATTGGGTCAAATCTTCGCTCGTTGTTCCCAAGAATCAGCTTCCTACTATCGTCTCGCCAAAAGAGTACTATAAGAGATTTAGGAAGTTCATCGACACACATTTCTTAAGTGTTCCAGACCATTGGTGCTCCCAAAAATCTTCAAATCCTTGCAAACCTTATGGCACAATAAGTGGTATTGCTTCACCACAGGCGGAGTCTGATGGTGATTCTGATCAACCTAAGTTGACTGGTGAAGGCGAATATGAAGATGCTAATTCTACTGCCCAAGAGAAACAAAATGGTTTTACCACCTGACTTCTCTTCCCTTTTAAGTGGTTCCAATCATTAATTTCTGTACATAGTTGTTTGTCGCCTGAGCCCCTAGATATATATCCCCCTCTTATTTCTGCGATTATTTTTAGCAAATTCATGAGGATGGTTTTATTCTTTAGGTTCATTTCTAGCTTGCAGTATATACCAAAGTTTTTGTCATGTCTATGACTCATCATATAAAGCCCTTTAGTAGCTCGAGTATTATTAGCGATCAAAGGGAAAAAAGATAGCAGCTGAAGCTGCTTATGGTTATATTTTTTGGCTGTAAGACAATATTCCTATTAATCCATTGTTGAGTTCATGGTTTTGAGTTTTCTTTTTGGTGTATGTGACTGTCATATGTGGATCAGCAAACATGGTGGATCAGCAAACATCAAACAACCAATAACGAGACAATCAACAGAAAAATGGAATAAATGAAGCAAAAAAAAGAGGATAAAAGGAATCAATGGCTAGAGAGAATATACCTATTTTGTTACTGCTAGCTCTCATTAGAATTGATGATGCCAGTGTCATCTTTGTAAGAGTAATTCAGTGTTCTCTTGGGGTGCTATTGCTCAACTGGACTTACCCTCGAGGGTGTCGTCGAATAGTTTGGACCTCTCTACCTTTTACTAGAGGTCTCGGGTTTTGACTCTGGAAATGGAAAACCTTTTGGCAGAGCAGGCATATCCGGCGAGAACTTGAATTAGTTGAGCTTGGGACAACGAATTGTTAAAAAGAAAATGTAACCAATCTTTCAGATAAGATTAACTGTTATGTTTGGTCTAAAGATTTGTTTTGAAGTTGTTTTAGTCTACAAACACATTTACAAAGTGAAAAGAAGGAAGTCATATTTTCAATTTTCACGAGTCTCCCATTATTTTAGAGTCATTTCCAAGAACTCCGTGAATGGATGATATTCAAAAATCATTTTGTGAAGAGTTTTACAAATCCCTTTTTTTTTTTATACAAAACGTGTTTGTGTGTATATGTGTTATCAAATAGCAACTTATTGCAAATCCGTTGGCTTTAAATTTCGAATTGGTCTCTAATCATAATATGTAATGATTTTTGTAGTAAACTATTACTCCACTGTCATTTTCATTGTCTTGTATCTTCTCTTAAAAATGGCTCTACTTCTTATATCTGCAATAAATGTGGAACCTTTTCTTGGTAAATTTATATGATACATTAATGTCCTACCCAGTCCCAAGGGACCCAAAAATCAGAATATTAATATTACTCTGATATATTTGAAAATTAACCCAAATAACCATCCACCTAATTTCTTAAATTAAAAATAGCCGGTCGATGCATAACATATTAACATAGGGATAATTTATGTATGACATATGTATAATTATTATATAATCAACGTGTAATCTATATATATCGGTTAGAAAAAATAATTATTGAATCTAACCGGCTATTTGTGTAACAATCCCACAATATTCTTAGTCGTTATCGGAAGGTGGCTAGTAAAAATAAGGGATTTTTCCCTATAGGTACAAAAACATGACAATATTTACTCGCTTTAACTAGGTTTTTGTGTTTTTAAAAAGTAGCTAGATTTGTTTTTATAAAATATATATAAATTCGGTCAAAATATACAACTTACATATAATTAATAACTTGCTACAAATATTTTTAATACAAAAAATTAAAAGAACTTGGCTTAATACGAAAAAATTATATCTTTAATACGAATTTGTAATTTGAAATATTTTATCAGTGCCACTTGTTTGAGATTGAGACAAAATAATTATGATAGTAATACCACTTTAAGAGAACTACTAAAAAGTATAATTTAGCTCACTCATACCGTATGTTGTTTTTATACAAACAAATACTATATACGTATAAAATGTTATGTCTTATTTTTTATTTTAAATTGTCAAAAAATTGTATTAGTTGTTACGAGTTGACGTTTTACCTTAGCGCCTTTTTAATAGTTTGAGGAGATGGCGATGGACGTTTTCAATACTCCTACATTTCATAAACCCCATCATATTTCCAATGTCTCAATTTTGTTACAATAAATGCTATTGAACTATTATTATACTTCCTTTTTTTTTCCAAGAGAGGTGCAAGTTGACATATATAGGTCAATTGCGTACCACAAAATTTATTATTGTCATTCTGTCACTAATATTCCCAATACATTATAGACAAAAGTTTATTTTATCCAAGAGGTTTTCTCATTAAAATTTACTGAAAAAAATATTAAACAACATTTTGAGCAGCCAATCAAGCTCTAGTATTTCAATAGACCCATGATAACAAGCAATTGCTCAACTGTTTATCCACCGTTCTAGAATAAGTCAATACTTTTTCTTTTTCTTTTTTAAAATAAAAAAATAAAAAAAAAAGATTATTGAGGAGGACGAGAAACCCATCCTAACTATATCAACCCAAAGAAACCATTGAATTTGGACGCGAGGTAGAATTTCAACTTTATAAAATTTGGATTATAAAACGATGATTTTCAGTATTAATAATTGAGTTTTAAATTTAATATTTGTACATATTTAATAATTATTTTTAATTTAAATATACTATTTAAACAAAAACTATTAGATTCGATCGAACCCGTACCGGACTTCTAACTCTGTCCCTGACTCTTAGCATTGCCAACGCCAATTTCCTTTTTCTTTTACAACAGAATTGTCGAAGTAGAAAATTTGACAATAATTGGAAAATAATTTTTTTTTAAGGTGGTGAATCGCCCTTATCATTCTATGCGTTTCTTCAGCATGCTGAATTTCCCCTTTGCCGACTGCTTAGCTGCAATTCTTTATTTACCTGTACCTTAATCTTGCTTAAATATGGGCTGCAATGCTATTTATCTATTTACTAAAGAGGAAAACAAAGAATTTTTTTGGCAAAACAAGACTGATTAGCTTGCTGCCATAACACAATTGACTGAAAAAACTTATACATTTTCAAAAATATAATACCTATCTTAAAATAATTTAGTGTTTTCTCTGTCTTTTTCTATGAATAACTTGTAACACGAGAGTCATCCTACGCTTCTTACACGTTTTTAATAATATTTTAGTATATGATAGTAGTGACTGTTTATAGCCTGTTTGGCCAAACTTTTAAAATCAGCTTACTTTTAGAAGTGTTTTTCTCAAAAGTATTTTCGGTGAAAAACAGTTTATGTTTGACTAATTAATTTGAAAAGGACTCTTGAGTAGCAATTAGTGTTTGACCAAGCTTTTAAAAAGTGTTTTAAATATATTTTTCTCAAAAGTACTAATTTTCTTGTTACTCCTATTTCTTACTCCTCTTTTCATCAATTATTTTTTTTTTCCTTTGTTGACATTCAACAGCATTAAATAGCTAGTATATAACAAGACAAGGTACTCTACCGAAGACAACAACCCCAATTATACTTAGCAGAAAAAGAAATTACCAACATGGCTCTAAAGACAAAATCTCCATTTCTTCTTCTTATCTTAAGCTTCTCTTTGTTTTCTCTTCTTTCTACATGCAGCTGTGAGTGCAAATTTACAGCAAATGAGTGTACTAAAGTTCAAGGGATGTTTGTATTTGGAAGCTCTTTAGTTGACAATGGGAATAACAATTTTCTTTTAAACTCATTGGCTAAGGCAAATTACTTGCCTTATGGTATAGATTTTCCTTTATTAGGGCCTTCTGGAAGATTCACAAATGGCAAAAATGTAATTGACATTATTGGAGAACATCTAAAGCTTCCTGTTTATATTCCAAATTTCAATGATCCTGAAACTAAAGGAAGTAAGATTGTTAATGGTGTCAACTTTGCATCTGGAGGTTCTGGCATTCTTGATAATACTGGTGCAGTTGCTGTAAGTAGTTAAATTTTTCTTTTAATTTCTTGTTGCTTGTTTTCAAGAAATAATTAATTAGAGAAAGATAATTATCACCCTCACACGATTTGCCGGTAACGGTTGACTGAGTTGGTTATGTGAGTGATTTCTCGCATGGGAGAGTTAGGATTCATTCGGCTCACCGGTAGCCTCCTCAGTCAGAGCTCGTAGTACCGGACTTGCCTAGTACGATTTATATCTTTTATGTGATTTGCGAGTTATTACACAGTGAACACAAAGGATAGGGCCGTGGATTTCCCGAGAATTTTTCAAAACAGAAAAAAATCTTTAGACGATTCGAGATTATGACATATGGTAGAGCCAAGCAGGTTTCAACTAATAGTTAACACGCCTTTACCTTATTAATTGCATCTGTATTAATGATTCATCAAAATAATACTAACTCCGGTCTCAAATATGAATTGTTTTTGCAAATTCTTTCCAAAATATTTGATGGTTTAGAGACACAAAGTTTGTTTTTCCTTCAAATTTACCCTTAGTGATCCAATAATTAGTGGAATATTAATTAAATAAAATATTTAAGAGTGAGATGACGGGTAGTTAAACAAGTAATTCTTATGATTAGAGATTATTAAAAGTCTTTTTAAAGGGTTGTACGAATATTTTAAAAGACAGATAATATAATTAATAGGAGACAGTATATTAAGAGAAAAACAACATTTGATACGTAAAAAATAACATACCAAACAAAAGAGGCGGACACACACTATAAGGAGAGGGTTCATCGGCACCCGAAAACTTCGACAAAAGCTCCAGTATACTTGCAAATGTCTTCAAGAAATAGTCAAATATTAGTATAAGCCCCGTACCAATCTTTATGATCAATGATAAATTCACGTCGAATATCATGATGTTCCGCTACCGTGGTATTCTTGGGTCCACCTCTGCCAAACATACTATGCCCTAAACCTACATCCATCAATAATAATCTCATTTTGTTTTTCATATTCACTAGCGCGTTGACAAAAAGCAAGCAACTTGTTAAGAGTAAGGTTTGACTTTCTCTTTTGTTTCTATTAGCAGATAGGGTTTGGAACCAACATAGCAACTGAAAATGACACAATTAAAAGAATTTTCATGAAAAGTTAGAGCATAAATGTGATTATATTAAAAAAAAAAACAAAAAGGGGGGGGTTATAACCTCTGCATTTGAAACTTTCATCTACTATATATGGTCCCTTAATCTGATACTATGCCCTTTACCCTCTTTCTCCATTTCAATTAGTAATATCCTAATATATTACCAAAATCCTGACCTCTCACAGTCACATTTTTCTTAAATGTTACCAAATTCTTCGGCTACTATAATTGGGCAAGAATGTGATTGTGAGAGGTTTGCCGTTAAAATAGCACGGGCTAGCCAGTTTTCGGACTGATAATTGAAAAATAGCCAGCGTTTGCAAAGTCATTAAAAAATAGTCACTATTTTGCTGCAACACGGAAAGTTCCAATATAATA